TTTGACTGCAATCAATCTGTTTCTATAAATCTACTTATCTTATTCACTTGTATTTATACCGGTATGCACTTTTATTTAGTTTATATGCATACACTTTATAGATTATATTGGATCATTGCACTACACAGCGGTGTTCTAAATTTCGAGAATATGTGAATGAAACTTCCAGGTTTTATTTCATGTTGATAAACTAGAAAAAAAAATCATTTTCTCGTGGAGTGTTTCCCCTAAAACCATCACCATTTCATGAAAACTCGGATAAATCTATATAAAACCGGATCTCAAACAAATTCCCTCATAATCTGACATAAAAATAATAAAACGATACATTCCTTCGAGCTAATCCCAGGAATGATCGATGTGTGTATGTAACATAAGAATTCCTAAACATCACTGTCAGTCTGTAGAATTCGTCTGTTAATGTCGAAAACAAAAGCTATCGACGCATCTGTGTGGAGAATTCGTAGATGAATATATGTATAATTAAGTTGTTATTGTGTCTACAGAGGAATATGAAGCAAATAATGGTAAAGCATATATTTCCGTAGACTCTTGAATTCATTTTGATTATTAATATGTTTATAAGTAATGAAAATTTAGCAGTATATTCATGAATTATTATGCGCATCAGATAGTAGCGAACTTTTTTCAGTATTTCAATCTTGTGGTATTTTCTGTTACAAGTATCTTATTGAAATAAATAAACCTACCAAGTATAGCGTGTAAAGTGTATTGCGATGAACGTGAATAAGAAAACGTAGAATTTGTCGGTGTAGATTGTTATATAATATATATATAATATATATATATATATGTATGTGTGTATATATATATGTGTGTGTGTGTGTATAAATATATATATATATATATATATATATATATATATATATATATATATATATATATATATATACATATATATATATATATATATATATATATATATATATATATATATATATATACATATATATATATATATATATATATATATATATATATATATACATAAATAAATATATATACATAAATAGATATATACATATATATATATATATATATATATATATATATATATATATATATATATACATATATACATATATATATATATATATATATATATATATATATATATATATATATATATATATAACAGTGTGTGTGTGTATTTGTACAATAAGCACGCAGTCGCACGCGCACATGGATTCGTAAGTATAGATACATTTTTTCTTCCTCTTTCTTTTTCTTATACGTATCCACACGATTTATTTATGAGTCTTCTCGCTATACCGCATCCATACCAGTAAACCAGTTCCCTTCAGTGTTCGTAATCAAGGCTCCCAATTGGACATGCTGCGCGCGCAAGATGTTCGTTGACATTTCGTCCTTGGACCGGAACGGGCAATTTTCCTCCGCTGCAAAATGCGATTCATCAGCTGAGGTTTGCTCAGGATGCGCTGCTGGCCGCTAGACTGCGCGGATGGCGAGCTACGTTTTTTGAGAGGGTTAGAGGGGAGGCTCTTTTACACTTTGCTTTATCCAAATATGATTTCTCTTGAGTAGAAATACTGTATTACACACACGCACATATATACATATACGTGTGATATATATATATATATGTGTGTGTGTGTGTGTGTGTGTGTGTGTTTAACATAGTGATAATGATATTCTGTTTTGTTTAAGAATAAAAAATAATGAACGCGCGCTACTTGATATGCCTCATCCCAAACTTTATTCACGGAAACTCAGATTATTTTCCTAATGATGAGAGAGAGACCAAGCGTGGGACCGAGACACAGACAGACAAACAAAGGCATATAAATTTTGTTATTAAAGCAACGGTTTGTCCGGTCGACTTCTGAACCTGGATAGTTCCCAAACGACGATGATGGACGTAGTTTGTAGTTCACGTGAGGAAAACGCCGTGGCAATAACATATTACGGAGACGCTATGTTCACCCGACATTTTTTTTTCCACAGCGAGGCACAAGTCATCCTCTGTCATCGCCATAATTACGTGTGTTCTTCCCTCGTAGTTGAAAAAAATACCACAACTCAAACGATCTTACAGTGTCATTTCAGATGTCTTGAAAACACCCTTTAACCTTCCCCCTTTCCCCCTTCTCCCTTTCCCCTTCTCCCTTCTCCCTTCTCCCTTCTCCCTTTCCCCTTCTCCCATCCCCTTTCCCCCTTCTCCCTTCCCCCTACCCCCTACCCCTCTTCTCCCTTCCCCCTACCCCTCTTCCCCCCTTCTCCCTTCTCCCTTCCCCTTTCCCCTTTCCCCCTCCCCCCTCCCCCCACCTACACTATGAGCCTATTAACCCCCTTGCTTCCCACCGCCTCTCTTAACCCTACTTCCCCCCCCCCCCTCACACGGCAGGGTCTCATTCCGCCCCCTTGACCCGCAAATTACAGTTCAGCATTTGCCTTTTACCCGCTGTCGGCTTCGATATCCGGTTAAAGCCGCTAGACCGCCGTTAGGTCGAGTTAATCATTGCTCAGAGGCCTAAGGTTGCCGACTCCCCTCGCTGTGCCTATCCTGTGACGCGTCTGTGGGACTTGGGTGTCGGGGAAATGCAGAAACTTTGCTTTATCTGATATTGTTGGTTTGATGTTTTTTTGTTGTTGTTACTGTGGGCCTTTTAGTTGCAGAATTGGTGGTTGTAGTAGTTTAGATTGTCTTATCATTATTTCACATTTGTAGTGAACACTTTCGATATGTTTTCCTGTTTGCTATTGTAGAGGCTGTCCGTGTTCGGCTTTTTATCGTTATTTGAGACATTTTAACCCAGCAAGTTCGATCGTAAAGTAATTTTATTGCTGTGTTACAATTACTAAGAATACTGCCAATAATTTTTAAGATAATTTCAGCTCCTCTCTCATCAGCGCCACCTGTGCGTAAACCCTACAAATTAAAGTGGATAATGGCGCCGAAAATAGCGAGCAGCGAGATGCACAATGAACGTAATAATTCAATCATTCATAAATTGAGGATCAGACATAAATTGTTCCGGCAATTTACTCCGTGTGTGTCCTCAGGCTATTGCTGTTTTTATTGCTTTGCTTCTTTTTTCTTTCTTGTGATTATCTTGTTCGTCCAGCAAATGGCACATCTGTTGGTGTTTACCTAAAATAGGAATTTTCTTTCCCATTTTCCCCCTTTTTGCTTACATAATTTCCCTGACGCGCGCCAAAGGATTGATGTTTTTTTTATGATACGAAATGTCTCGGAAGATAACTAGAGAAACTTTATTTCACTTTGTTTATTTGTTTATTTATTAGTAATACACAGGATCCTGACAGCAGTCTTAGTTACCTAACAAAGGAGACTGTGCATGGATGGTATCTATAAAGGATGCATCTGTAATATACAAATATTACACGAGAACACAATAAGAACGCAAGTAGTACAAAACAAAACACAAGAACAAAACTCAAGACGAACGAAAGTAGAACACAATTAAAACACGGAAAGAACAAACAAAGAACCACAAGAAAAGAACACAAGAAAATAGGCAAAGAAGCATTAAGAACAAGAAACCCGAAGCAAAGTACCTTACGTAAATGAACGCAGCTGGCGGCGGAGGAAAACCTTCGACTCAGGGATTCGAATCACCGAGACAGGCCGTAAAGTTGCTTTAAATAATCACATGAGTAATGACAGACTTTGATTCATTTTTGTTCTTTTTTTGAGCATTGTATAACTAAAATATAAATGATGGTTATAAGTGTGGACGTGTTATTACATACAATTCGTGGCTGGGTTTTGATTAGCTTTGGGAATAATCGTGTAGGTTAGACGAAGTGTGTCGTTTTCAAGGTTATGGTACTAGTGAGGATGGGGAAGGAAAGATGGGAGGTTACGTCTTCTTTTTCTTCTTCGTCTTCTGTTTTTTCCTCGTCTTCGTCTTCTGTTTTTTTTCCGCTACCTCCGTTTTTTTCTGGTCTCTTTGTGATTTTCTCTCTGGTTCTTTCTGCACTCCCTGTTTTTCTGTTTGTTTCTTTCCGTTCTTTCTTGCTCTCTGCTTCTTTCTGTTGGTCTCTCTCTCTATCTACCTCCCTCTCTCCCTCCCTCCCTCCCTCTCTCTCTCTCTCTCTCTCTCTCTCTCTCTCTCTCTCTCTCTCTCTCTCTCTCTCTCTCTCTCTCTCTCTCCCCCTCTCTCCCTCTCTCTCTCTCTTTTCTTTATTAATTTATCCCTACTTTCGTTTTAAGATTCCTCATATTCATATCGCATCAGCTTGAAAGACTTTGCAGTGAAATCGGACACGGTGAGATCTTTTATAAGTCATTTGTATATTATTTCGTCAACGGTCACGGTTCGATAAAATAAAATAAAAAAAAATATTCACTCGTAAAGTTCTTTTCCACGAATGCACGTTTCCTTTTCCTGTGATATAACCGGTAACCCACGCTCTACGGAATTGCATTTCGTGTATCCGATTCCACAGCGCTGCCCTCTGTCTGATCTTTGGTGATTTCTACATTTCACTTGGCTTGTTATTCTCAACCACACTGCACATCAGCTCTGGATCCGTTATCTTCACCAGGTGTTCCGACTACGTTAAAAGGTGTCGGTGTCTGAACATGTGTGACTGTCTGGGTGTTAGGTTGGAAGGATTTATTCGCACACATGCATTTAAACAAGCACGCATGCACATAAACGCACGCACGCATACACATACGCTCACACATAAACACGCACGCACAGAAACACGCACGCACGCACAAACACACACGCATGCACAAACATGTTGAAAGAAAAAAAAGACCTCTTAGACAATAGACAGCTTAATTAAAACGCGTATAAAAGGACTTTTGGGGGGTTTATTAGGACACATAGAGACGACTCTTTCGTTGCTTGGATAGAATATAATGTTATGTTTACAGGTAACTAATCAAGTAGACAAAGAAAAAAGTTATGACTTTCGATAAAGGAAGGCCATGATTGTGTGGTTAACAAGAGTTCATAAACAAGGCCGCTTATTTTTATTGGTCATGACTTTTGGCGGGAAAATTGGTGGTGACTTTTGGCGGGAATTTTGGTGGTGACTTTTGGCGGGAATTTTGGTGGTGACTTTTGGCGGGAATTTTGGTGGTGACTTTTGGCGGGAATTTTGGTGGTGACTTTTGGCGGGAATTTTGGTGGTGACTTTTGGCGGGAATTTTGGTGGTGACTTTTGGCGGGAATTTTGGTGGTGACTTTTGGCGAGAATTTTGGTGGTGACTTTTGGCGATTTGGCGAGATTTTTTGAAGATTTTTTCCATGAACATCTGTCTGGATGAGGACATGCTTATTCTATTGTTGGCACCACTGTTATCTTTATTGTTATTACTATTCTTATAATTATCGTTGCTATTATTAAATAATTATAATTATATTATCATTATTATTGTTATTATCATTATTATCAATATTATTATTATTATTATTATCATTATTACTATTGGTTATTGTTAATGCTACTGCTAGTACCTGCTGCTATTATTAATCATTATTATTATTATCATTAATACTATTAGTACTAGCACTGAAATAATTATTACAGCAATATACTATTATTGTTATCATATATAATGTTATCATTATTATTATTATCATTATTATTATTATCATTATTATTATTATCATTATTATTATTATCATTATTATTATTATCATTATTATTATTATCATTATTACTATTGGTTATTGTTAATGCTACTGCTAGTACTGCTGCTATTATTATCATTATTATTATTATCATTATTATTATTATCATTATTACTATTGGTTATTGTTAATGCTACTGCTAGTACTGCTGCTATTATTATCATTATTATTATTATCATTATTATTATTATCATTATTACTATTGGTTATTGTTAATGCTACTGCTAGTACTGCTGCTATTATTATCATTATTACTATTGGTTATTGTTAATGCTACTGCTAGTACTGCTGCTATTATTATCATTATTATTATTATCATTATCATTATTATCATTATTATTGTTATTATCATTATTATCAATATTATTATTATTATTATTATCATTATTACTATTGGTTATTGTTAATGCTACTGCTAGTACTGCTGCTATTATTATCATTATTATTATTATCATTATTATTATTATCATTATTACTATTGGTTATTGTTAATGCTACTGCTAGTACTGCTGCTATTATTATCATTATTACTATTGGTTATTGTTAATGCTACTGCTAGTACTGCTGCTATTATTATCATTATTACTATTGGTTATTGTTAATGCTACTGCTAGTACTGCTGCTATTATTATCATTATTACTATTGGTTATTGTTAATGCTACTGCTAGTACTGCTGCTATTATTATCATTATTACTATTGGTTATTGTTAATGCTACTGCTAGTACTGCTGCTATTATTATCATTATTATTATTATCATTAATACTATTAGTACTAGCACTGAAATAATTATTACCATCAATATTACTATTATTATTGTTATTATCATTATTACTATTGGTTATTGTTAATGCTACTGCTAGTACTGCTGCTATTATTATCATTATTACTATTGGTTATTGTTAATGCTACTGCTAGTACTGCTGCTATTATTATCATTATTATTATTATCATTATTATTATTATCATTATTATTATTATCATTATTATTATTATCATTATTATTATTATCATTATTATTATTATCATTATTACTATTGGTTATTGTTAATGCTACTGCTAGTACTGCTGCTATTATTATCATTATTATTATTATCATTATTATTATTATCATTATTACTATTGGTTATTGTTAATGCTACTGCTAGTACTGCTGCTATTATTATCATTATTACTATTGGTTATTGTTAATGCTACTGCTAGTACTGCTGCTATTATTATCATTATTATTATTATCATTATTACTATTGGTT